TCTTCAACAACCTCAACCAAATTAAAATAAGAAAGACTACTTAAAATGAATTGATAATCTAATGTTATGTTTAATATCAAAATTGAGGTTGTTTAAATGAAATGAATTTTTTTTAAAAAAAAAAAAGAAGTAAGGAATGAGCGGTTATTTTCGTCCATGAACTTGACCTATTTGTATGAAGTGTGCTTGTTTGAATATCATACACGTCATACATATTTATATATAAAAGTATAGTACACAAAATGAATTCCAGTAAATAAATATTTGGAATCATTATTTGCTAAAATTGCCTACATTTTATTAAATTAAAGTAAACTTTAAATAATAATTTTGGCTTCATATAAAATGGTTTTCATCAACGGCTTGCAAATTGTAATATTTCAATATTAAAACTGTAAATGAAATGTGACATAACTGTAGTAACAAAGTTAGTTAGAGATTAATGCAATTACATATATATCCACATGGTATAACAACAAATGAAGTAATATAAAAGATGGATAATATGAAATAGATACATATTGTATACTAAAGAAGGCTTTGTAGTATATTTAATATTTCGTTAAAATCACGAACCGATTAAAATTACACCACCATTGAAAATCTGGAAGTACTTAATGGTCATTTCGTCCTAGTATGGGACTCCTCAATAGTATGTCCCCATAATCTTACCACAAGGGGTCGGAAACAGGACATTGGGTCTTGAGCGCTAGCGATTAACCTCTAGACCATTTATTCGGTATCCAATAGTATACATTTCTAACTTCAACCAGTCAACGATATTTCACAACTATCTCCTACGTACCTTACACTCGGCACGGTCAAATTCCATTGATCATGACTTTTCAGCAGAACTCCAGTAGTTTCGTCTCAAAGCTATTTAGTAGTGAGTACATGATAACTGTCAGTATGGGGTAGTGAATATTATTGAACTATATAATATTATTATGTGCAGTATTCTATCTATCAGATTTTGTGAGATGTTCAACTTCTTAAGTGAACCAATTATTCCATTAGAAAATTGATACAATCAACTTTAAATTTACTATATGTCTTCGACTTTAATGAAAGTTGACATCTCATAATGAAATTACACAACGTTAGTATAATTAATGATCACTTGTCCTTGGGTACTTTAATTAATAGTGAAGAGAACACTATAATCACCATTAGGAAATAACTCTTTGGAGTCTGAGAGAGAGATAGAGACACAGATCCTCAATACCATTAGTAATTGAACTAAAGACATTCTGTAATGTAAAGCTACACAATACAACAATATCTATAACTCTTATATCAAAAATTAAGGATTAAAACAAAATGACGATGAATACTATCAGGTGACCAATGCTTTCGTCATGAATTTATTTCACATACAAGAATATTTGGTGCTAATAACATCTATAGCCAAAGTTTATTGAAGGTGTATATCAATTTGTCCCATGAATTTCGATTAAAATAATATTAAATGCGTTAAATTTGAGCTTTACCACATGTAATTATTTAAAAGAAAACAGGACAAGATTTTTAACATTCTGTTTTTTTACTTTATTATCCATTGGTTCCCAATGAATAATATTATTAAAAAGATAATTAAGTTCAAATGTTGAGATCATTTTAACAACTATAAGTTAGATTCTTTTCAAATGAGATAAAAATAAAGCAATTATCTAGTGAACTCAATACATATGTATATTATCAGGCGGGGTTTTGTGGAGATTTAGTATTTTCATGGTTGGAAGCGTGAGTCAGCTGAAGCTAGACCACCAAGGAAAACCTGGAAGCACTGACGACCGTTTTGTCCAATTGTGGGACTCCTCAGCAGTGCGCAGACTGGTAGGTCCTGGCTTCGAATCTCGCGAAACAAGGTCGTGGATGCACACTGCTGAGGAGTCCCACATTAGGACGAAACGGTCGTCCAAAGCTTCCAGGTTTTCCTTGGTGGTCTAGCTTCAACTGACTCACGCTTTCAACTATGAACATATGCATATCTTTACTTGACCATTCATTTTTGTATAAAACGACAACCATATGATCTAATCACTGAAACTGTATTGTGTAATGAGTAATCGCACAAAATTAAGGACATTATTAATGATAACAGTAATAAATTCTATTTGTGTGGTAGCTATCAGTATCGTAATACCATAGCCTAATTGTAAATCCTTGGCGTTTAAAACGGTAATTGTTGGGTTCAGTTTTGAATGGTTGAATTCAACTACTATTCATAGCATTAATAAACTGAAATAATAGAAATATTGATACATTTTCATGTGTTAGCTCACCTATTAGTTTCAATATATAGGCTAATAGCAATGGAAATGAGTAAGTAGATTGAATTAAACGGTCTGACAACTAATCTATTTATTATGTTATTCTCAGTTCGTTTTAATGAACATCGACCGATAATTTCAAAGGTCAACTTCATAACATGAACAAATGACTCATGAACAGACAAAATAATCTAGGTCAAATTACCCGTATCCTGACTCAACTCTGAATAAGAATGGGGATTAGATCTTTAAGGCCAAAGTTTACTAAACTCAGTCATCGAAAAGTTTCTATTTATAAATATTTTGTTAGTATTATGAAAAGTGCAATGGGATTTATTCACAGGACAAATATAGTAACATAGTGAGGTCAAATACACATTTAGTTTCGAATTCTAATAATGAGGTTAATGGTCTGATATTTCACATACTTTAACCCCATGTTTCTTAGCACTTTCAAGTAATACTTTTATAATGAACATATTAGATTTATGTGAAATGGCTGAGATGATGATAATTCACTTTCTATTCTTCCCAGCCATTTTGTCATGGTTGTCTTATGAGTTTAGTCGACATTCTTTTAAAATCACTTTTCAACATTGAAAATAATGTCAACCTGTGACTGAAGATATGCATGATTATCCATAAATACTCACTTATAGATAAAAGTATAATATTCGTCCTTGCAAATAAACGTTATGATATACTTAGATATTATCTGACTAACGTGACTTGGGATGTGTGAATTAGAGACTATTAAATGTTTTGAATAGTTTTGAAGATTATATTGCTTTATATGATGACTGAAGACTGATTAGAAACCATCTGTTAACGGACATCCCTTTTACATGATTCACAAGGACGATGGACCAACAAAAGCTATCTCAGATAATCACGAAGTGGATTAATTAATAATCCCATTATTTTCTGTCCTTACGTGTGATGGTATTCAAAATGCCGATGATAAGCGGGCTTTAAAGCTTTCTAAAATCATTTACTACTAATAAGTAGTTAAATACACATGGCAAATTATTTTGCTTATCAATTGACAACTGTACTTGACTTTTACCAGTCAATAAGTGAAAAAACGATAAAGTCGCAAAAACTTTAACTAAATTTAAAGGCCTATTTACATTTTTGGTAACTTTTGAGCTTTTCAAGGTCTTCATCCAGTTTTTATTATTTTAAACTGAAATATTTCTTTGAATAGTTGATATCATGAATCAATTGAAGCTAGACAACCATGGAAAACCTGGAAGCAATGGATGGCCATTTCGTTCCATTGTGGGACTCCTCAGTAGTGCGCATCCACGATCCCGCCTCAAGAGATTCGAACACAGGACCTATCAGTCTCATGCGCGAGCGCTCAACCACTAGACCACTGAGCTGACCGGCATCCAACGGTGTTAATGTCTAACTTCAATCGATCCACGAAATTGAGTGACACATCCACCAATGTCTTCAGTGAGTTACTATCTCACAACAGGTCTGGTTGAACTCCACTGATCACTGCTTCTCAGTACAACTCCAGGAAATACCTCATGGGGTCAGTCACTAGTGAGCATATGTTGATTATTATCAGAAGTGGTTTTTGTGGATATTATAGTAATTTTTTTCAATCGTTGAGATCATGAATCCCATGAGTCCCATAATAGGACGAAACAGTGGTTTCAGGTTTTCCTTGGTGGTTCAGCTTCAATTGATTCATGACCTCAACTATTAAAAAAGTTACTACAATATCCACAAAATTCCCTTCTGATAACAAAATATTTTTGTTCCAAATACTCGTTTATTCGAAAAAACCTCGCGGTGTTTGTGTCGTTTATTGAACTATAAATACTCATGTGAATAATTTCTCACAATATATTTATTCCAAGCGAATGATAGGTATACGAAATGACGCTATGAGACCCTTATGTGAGAGCTATGTAAAAGTCACACATGACATTTTTAGATAATTTGTACCACTCGAGAATGCTCATTTGTAATGCCTAAGGTTGACTTTCAATAAAGAAACTGGCGGATTATTATTATTTTACGTTTCTAATAAAAATTATCCTTAGTAGAAATACGAGTTTTGTGTAGTTTCACTTACAGATTATCATTTTCATCATATGACATAATAATTCTTTTGTTATCAATCATAAACATATTAAGCACTAAATAACGATATACTACAAAAGAAGCTATCCACAGGCTGAATGTTATCTGAGATAACATATGGATTTCATGCCAAAAAAATAAAAATTTTCATCTTATCCTGATGGGTTTGGTAGTATAGCACAACTTCCCTAATTTGAGTAACTTGGTATCTCAATTGATTGTATAACTTATTTATTTAAATAGTGACTCTTCAAATGAGAAACTAAAGTATGAACCCTAATTTTTGAAAGATTAGTGTGCTTTTTAATACTGTCTTGTTTAGGTCTTTGTTCAAAGACATTGGAAGTTTACCTGATTTATATCGTTTTTTCTATCGGCTAGACTATAACTTATAGACGAAACAATCAGATGTAAAATAATAGGTCTTGGATTTTGGCGCGAAATCCATTCATCCATTTGGCTAAATAGCGTTTTGGTATTTTAGCTGATGTCAGTTCGTGGTGAAAACTCTAAATCTAGTTCCCAACAGTAACCACCAACTGTAAATCATAATTCTAATTCGTTGAGCTGCTTTATAACCCTCATTTAATCCTTTTTAGTAAGTGGACATTCCCAAGGTCAGTTTAGCGTCACTCAAAGGTCGTCCATAAATTACAGTCTCAACTTTCTGTCTAAAACATGAGTAATTATATTTTACAAAGAAAAGATGAATCACCATTTGTCATAGATACATTTATTATAAATGTAGCTGGAAACAACATCTATTTCTCCATTTAGAGTTAAATATACTTCATTTTATTTCCAATTCTGTGTTAAAATACTTTTCATTTCTTGGCCTTGATCACGATTGGCATATTCAATAGCTTCATATTGAACATGTCTTTGTGGAGGTGCCTCAACTCCAACAAGTGGAATATTTGACATTGAAGGACCACCGAGTAAACCAGAAATCATACCTGTACGGCTCAGATTAGCAGTTTCCTGGGCTTCTTGACTAACATGAGCAAATCCACATCCAATTGGACTGGGAGGTAAACGATCATTAGTAATCAATTCTTTCATGGCAGAGCCTTTATTATTCAATGCAGCTTCATGTGCTTCTGATCCTCTTACAGCACGTATCTTCCAATTGTGTAGGGAAATTGGAAAAGGATAGATGAAAATGTCATTAGTTTTTTTGATGAATTGTCTAGCTAAATTTAGTCATTAGTGTAAAAGAGGGTGAAATTTAAATCAAATATTGATTGTATGTAAGATTATCTTCTGTAATAGTGCAAATTTATTTGAAAGCTTTTATGGAACGGTGTAGTATCAGTTTATTTGTTAAGCCCATATACTTTATCCTAGCTACTGGCCAAGCCAATTCGCCTGTCATGAGTCATATTTTGATCTTGTTAATCATTTGCTTATTGACCTTGACTATACTTTTATATGAGCATATATGTGTACACTTCGTATCTTATTCATCGTATGTCTGTCACTCATTTTTGTCCGACTATAGATGTTGATTAACACTTGCTTAAATCGAGTTGGCTTCCCAGCCATCTCCCATGCATGTCATTTCCGCCTCGTTCGCTTTCTTTGCTTATTCGCCTGTTCACTCGCTCGTTATTATTCGCTCAGGTGTTGTTAACTTTCTGACCTGAGTTATTCGACAATAAATTGTAGTTGCTGCTATCCTTTGTCTTCTGATTTTACGCGCCGTTAAGATTAAAATTATATCGGTTATCGAAACGAACGATTAACGAATTGCGGCACTACAACGGTTTCAATGACCGTGTAAACTGATTTTTTTAAAAATCAAACGACTAAAGGATTATTATCAGAAGGGGTTTTGTGGAGATTTTAGTATTTTTATAGAGTTGAGATCATGAGTCAATTGAAGCTAGACTACCATGGAAAACCTGGAAGCACTGGACGGCCGTTTCGTCCTATTATGGGACTCCTCAGCAGTGCGCGTCCACGAACCCACTCTCGCGGGATTCGAACCCAGGACCTACCAGTTTCGAGCCGAAGCCCTTAACCGATAGACCACTGAGCTGGCATCCAACGGTGTCAATTTCTAACTTCAACTGATTCACGAAATTGAGCAACCATTCACCAATGTCATCAGTGAGTTCCTATCTCACAACAGACCTGGTTGAACTCCACCGGTTACTGCTTCTCACTAGAACTCCAGGAAATACCTCAAGGAGTCAGTCACTAGTGAGCACCTGATTATTATCAGAAGGGGTTTTGTGGAGATTTTAGTATTTTTATAGAGTTGAGATCATGAGTCAATTGAAGCTAGACTACCATGGAAAACCTGGAAGCACTGGACGGCCGTTTCGTCCTATTATGGGACTCCTCAGCAGTGCGCGTCCACGAACCCACTCTCGCGGGATTCGAACCCAGGACCTACCAGTTTCGAGCCGAAGCCCTTAACCGATAGACCACTGAGCTGGCATCCAACGGTGTCAATTTCTAACTTCAACTGATTCACGGGCTTCGGCTCGAACCTGGTAGGTCCTGGGTTCGAATCCCGCGAGAGTGGGTTCGTGGACGCGCACTGCTGAGGAGTCCCATAATAGGACGAAACGGCCGTCCAGTGCTTCCAGGTTTTCCATGGTAGTCTAGCTTCAATTGACTCATGATCTCAACTCTATAAAAATACTAAAATCTCCACAAAACCCCTTCTGATAATAATCAGGTGCTCACTAGTGACTGACTCCTTGAGGTATTTCCTGGAGTTCTAGTGAGAAGCAGTAACCGGTGGAGTTCAACCAGGTCTGTTGTGAGATAGGAACTCACTGATGACATTGGTGAATGGTTGCTCAATTTCGTGAATCAGTTGAAGTTAGAAATTGACACCGTTGGATGCCAGCTCAGTGGTCTATCGGTTAAGGGCTTCGGCTCGAAACTGGTAGGTCCTGGGTTCGAATCCCGCGAGAGTGGGTTCGTGGACGCGCACTGCTGAGGAGTCCCATAATAGGACGAAACGGCCGTCCAGTGCTTCCAGGTTTTCCATGGTAGTCTAGCTTCAATTGACTCATGATCTCAACTCTATAAAAATACTAAAATCTCCACAAAACCCCTTCTGATAATAATCAGGTGCTCACTAGTGACTGACTCCTTGAGGTATTTCCTGGAGTTCTAGTGAGAAGCAGTAACCGGTGGAGTTCAACCAGGTCTGTTGTGAGATAGGAACTCACTGATGACATTGGTGAATGGTTGCTCAATTTCGTGAATCAGTTGAAGTTAGAAATTGACACCGTTGGATGCCAGCTCAGTGGTCTATCGGTTAAGGGCTTCGGCTCGAAACTGGTAGGTCCTGGGTTCGAATCCCGCGAGAGTGGGTTCGTGGACGCGCACTGCTGAGGAGTCCCATAATAGGACGAAACGGCCGTCCAGTGCTTCCAGGTTTTCCATGGTAGTCTAGCTTCAATTGACTCATGATCTCAACTCTATAAAAAAAGACTAAAGGATTAGTTAATTTATTATCTATCATATGGGATTATATGAAGTGTGTGGCAACTTGATCCAATGCATATGTATGTCAGGTTCCACATTACATTTAGCTGACTGACTAGTTATGTGAAGTAACAAAAAACTAATTACTGGTGGAGTTATTACAAATGATATAGTGCTCATACAGGACTGGACCTGTATTTTTCAAGTCTTACTACCACGACGTCATTTAGTTGGTTGACTTCCAGGCTAGAAAACAACTCTCGAGCACTTCTAGACTTTAGATAGCCTCTTCATTTTTATAACTGTGGTAATAAATATTTTTGGGCTGATCGAATTTCATAAACTATTTAATTATATATATTTATAATCATTGTTCTCGGATCTGTAAGAGGAATTGGAAAAAAGCCCTGTCAAACTGGATAGTACAAATTGTGCAAGATTATGAAGTTACTTTAAGCAATAAAGAAATATCAGTTTCTATCAAGTCCGTAAAAAAGTTTCCAGAACCAAGGATACATTACCTATTAGCTTACCTGAAACTTTCTTCCATAATGTTTTGTCACTGAACTTGCATTACTGCCCAAGTAGTCAGACATTTTGCCTTGGTTTCTTTTCATAGCTTCAAGAGCTTCTTCAGTTCTTAGACGGTAACCAGAAAAAGCAGTATTACTGTCATCTTTATCATTGTTGCACATATTCAGGCAACCAATAACTTGAGAACCAGAAACAGATTTCTCTAAAATGGTTTCACCATCTGGTCGAACACGATGATGCACAATGTTTGAAGGGTCTAATTTGAATCGAACGAAGACGTAAACAATTACAGTTTGAATATAAATCCATTAAGTTATTGGATCTAGTTAGACATTGAGTTATTCATCGGGGTTTGAAGGCAAGTATTAGTAATTAAAAGCCCTTACTATTAGTAAATGATTTAGTTCCATATGTGTCTAAATTTACTTGTCACATAGCATTAGTACATTTGATCATCCTGACCTACTATATAGTGCCTTTTAGAATACTTTAAGTCCTACTCTTCTAATTTAGCTCATTTAGTGGTTTATTAAGGTAAAGAGAACAAATCTATTTAAGACATATTGTCATTATTATGATCATGAAGGAGATAAACATTGGAAGTAGTAATAATGACAATAACAGTAGCAGACTATTGGATAACTATCTATTGTTTAAAATAATGATTGCTGGACTCAACAGTTAACGAGTATAACAATACGGAAAGAATCCAAGAAAGCGTTATTTTTTTCGTAGAGGGATAAGATATTGACAACAATCTTATTTCCAGATATTTAAAAATCCCCATTGTCTTAGAGCTAGATATACAAGCTAAGATTGTTTATTTTTAGTCAATTCATCTCAGGTTTTATCCTAACATATTGTTGCGTTTATATACAAATATGTAAAATATCAAACCAGAGAAGGGTATATATGACTCAATGGCAGTAGTGCTAGTAATGGTGATGTTAATAGTGGTAAGAACATCTCAAAGAAACTTCATTTTCATCGATAATCTTTCAGTCAAAATAATCTGTTTCAATACAACAAATTACCTTCTTCAGCTTCTAAAGACATCGAATTACTTATATGTCCATTGCGACCAAGTAGTCTCCACTGTTCAGCATCATATCCTCGGACAGCTGCAGAATGTGGTCGAGTCACCAAAGACAAGTGGTTGTCAATATCCGTCTGTTTTACATTTTTGCCTAAACATAATGCCATTTCAGTTCCAGTCCTAGACCATTGAGCATTGTTTTGTGCTTCTTTAGTTGGGCATCCATAGGGAACTGAGCTATAAAGTTCGTTAGGTGACATTTTCATGGTAAGCAAATCGTCTAAACCCTGTTGTAACGAGAAATTAATAAATAGGATAAGAAAGTTAATTTTAGAAATTATAATCAATTGTCATGCTTTGTTATTTTTACCCTTATTTATTTATTTTTAATGAATTATTTATCTAATAAATTATATTCACCTATTTGCAATCTCTACTTGTAATCATCTAAACTTTATATTGTTACATAATAACATAAGGGTATTTCATCTGCAGACCTAAACAAATAAATCAAACGATGTCATAGCTCAGTTTTCACTCATAATATATAACATTGGTCAAGTCCAACAGTTTTTGACCTCAAATAGTAACACCATGATGCACTATTTTCAAAACTGAATGTTTAAAACGTGTTAAGTACAACACCTCAATCAAACATTATCTAATCTGTAACTACGAAACATTGTTGTTGACTATACGCGACTTGAGGATTTTAAGATAAACGTAAAATGATACTTTGTAATTTTCAATCTTTAATAGTTAGTTGGACTCCTATTTGCAGTAATAGACGAAATTACACATCATTAGTATGTTCAAATAATGATTTATCGTAAATTAATTTTGTAAGTAGATAAACGTTGACATAACAACTATATAATACATAGAAATACCGTGATAATAATATCTCAAGAGAAACTACAGATCTTTAAACTTTCCCTACTATACCTTAGCGATTATGTGAAAACTTATGAAATATAATATGAAATTGATAATGTAAACAAACTAGCTAAATGGATAACGCTATGGCGTTTGAAGCGAACAGTACTGGGTTCGAGTCCAGAGTGAACATCAACTCTGAGATTCAGTTACATCCAGCTGACGAGTCCCAAATAGGACGAAACGCGCGTCCTGAATTCCACTGCTAGCCACTATCCATCTTTGCTTGTAAACAAACTACGTTGTTACACTTTATTACTTTCATTAATACTAGACTAGATGAATCAAATGTCAACAATAGTCATGTAACTAAGCCGAGTACATTTTTAATGGTTATATTTTTTTCCAGTCTAGTTATTTCAATATAGAAAATGAAGTCTTAAAACATTTAAATTTTAGCATATTGTTATGTTTAAATAAAAAAACGACAAAAAATAAGCTACATCTATCAACATTTGGTTTAACCCAATTGACAGTTTATTATAATGACTAATATTTTTTCTTAGACTGGTTGAAATTAGACATTAACACCGTTGAATGCCAGCTCAGTGGTTCTAGCGGTCAAGCGCTCGCCCGCGAGACTGATAGGTCCTGGGTTCGAATCTCGTGAGGCGGGATCGTGGATGCCCACTACTGCGGAGTCCCACAATAGGACGAGACGGCCGTCCAATGCTTCCAGGTTTGTGATGGTGGTCTAGCTTCAATTGACTCATGATTTCAACTATTTTTTATTAAATCGTGCTTTCCAAATGTTTGTTGTATTTAATTTAAGAAATAATCAAACATTACTAATCAACCATAGAACAATATTTCTAACTTAGGTTGAAACTATTCATAAATACTAATTTCAATGTAATCAGATCATACAGTAATCATGTTATCCTTAGACCGTTGATATCAGTTAGTAAGGTTAATTCAATTCAAAAGATATAAAAGTTTTCATAAAATCAGTCCAAACTATATGTTTTGAATATCACTCAGTAAAGTAGAATCATTCATGTCTTCGTTACTGGATTAAACGATACTATTGGTAGGTTCCATTGAAACACCATTTTAAATATGTATACTTTTGTTTTTTTAATTACTTCTTTTATTACGCTATTTGGCTTATCTGAAATAACTACAAGCTCCTTATTCAACAATCAATTTCAGATGAAGAAAAGAAACATGTCATTGTAATGGTACCAATTCAAAGATTGGCCCAATTTACTACTATTCATAAACAAACTCTACCACTCAAATATTTTCTAACCATTTGTGATAACTTAATCACTTATACAGTAAATAAATCAAAGTTTCTTTTACATGTCATTCCTTTATTTATAAACAATTCAAACCATTAATTGGCAAACATACACACACACATATTGCAACATTATGCTGAACTGATCGTCATAGATATTTAAATCTTGACTTAGACTTCTCCTGTATTTATTTATCATGAAAGAATGACTTGAAAAGGTGTATTACTTACATCTACTTTATTCTAACCTTAATAATTAGTCTATATTCAAGTTTACAAAACCATTTAAAGAATCAATATACATTGTTCATTCAATGACAATACTGAACTAAATTACCTTATAATATACAATTAAAATGATATAAAATTTCAAAAAAGTGAACATGATGTTTATTTTGTTACAAACAACTAATAATCTTACCAGACTATGTGTAACGGCCACATAGCTAGGAGTAGATTAGATCCAATTAAATAATTTTTATTTAGGGAGGGAGAAAATACTACCGGTTGATGCAAAATAGTGAATTCATTTTATTATAATACATATTTACATAATCTCTGTATTAAGGCATCAATGCACTTTAAATAATCATATGAAACTAGCTAGTGCTCAATTTTCACAGTTGAAATCACGAGTCATTTGAAGCTAGACCATTATGGAAAACCTGGAAGCATTGGACAGCCGTTTCGTCCTATTATGGGACTCCTAAGTAGTGCACATCCATGATCCCGCCTCACGAGATTCGAACGCAGGACCTACCAGTCTCACGCCGGAGCACTTAACCTCTAGACCACTGAGCTGACCGGCGTCCAACGGTGTTAATGTCTAACTTCAACCAATCCACGATTTTGAGCAACCGTTAACCAATTGTCTTCAGTGAGTTGATATCTCTACAACAGACGTGGTTGAACTCTACTGGTCACTCCAGGACATATATCTTGAAGTCGGTCACTAGTGAGCGCACTGCTGAAGAGTCCCACAATAGGACGAAACGGCCGTCCAGTGCTTCCAGATTTTCCATGGTGGTCTGGCTCCAATTGACTCATGATTTCAACTATGAAAATACTGAAATCTCCACAAAATCCCTTCTAATAATACTCAATTCCTTAGAACTATCAAACTGTAATTTGATAATAATAATAATAATATTAATAATAATAATAAATATTATTATTATCATTATTATTATTGATATTATCCGATTTAATTACATTGGAATAAAAAATAATTGAATTGTTAAATTATTTGACAGTTACTTTTATTAGAGGTCTAGCTTACACGATCTCTTATTGCATATTCTACACCTTCATACCTTACTCTTGAATGAACTGGATAGTTAGAAGTAAAGTGATTTGAAGGTTCTTTCGTTTGTGAATGTGTAAACCAATTATTCATTTCATTACGTCGGCTGTAGCTGGATATCTTTTTAGTAGAAGTTATTTCACCCTGTGATTGACTAAATGGTTTATGTTTAAACCAATCAGATTCTTGTGTCATATTCTTCAAAATAGCCTAGTAAATAATAAAAAAGCACAACTTCTATACGATATATAAATTATCCAGTGTCAAGATTATTTTAACTAAATATTAAGGAAAATGATATAAAATCCCATGATAAACGATCGCCTATTAATTAAACTCTGAATTGACATAAAGAAATAGGTTACTAGTTATATCCCGCAGAGAATAATGAACGGTAACTGTTGAAATCTATTTCTGGACTAGTACTATACATATATTTTTATTGTGTAATTGTTAAGTAACTAAACTATTCATATTCGTGTTCCCCTTATGATAAGCTTTATTTTGACCCATGGACTATTATTATACGATTTACCATTCTTGAGTTATCCCTAGTCTATTAATTACTGTTCCCCCTATTCACAGCCACATTTAGCTAAATCTTGTACAAATGTTATTTTCTATTTTATGGTACGATGTGGTCAGTTTGTTTGGTATATAAACCCAGTATGTTCGAGAATAATGATTCATATTGCAGAGTCTGTTATTGATATTCTGGACTTAACTGGCTGGGTTAGGCAGAAAGCAAAACTGATAAGTTTTCAAGACTGCTCATTCGGTTTTCATGTATCATTGGGCGATCGATAAATTCCCTCTTCTCTAGTTGGCGGTCTTATCACTCATATATTAAAGAGGGCACGCACTCAATCGATATAACAACTGGCTTGTAATAAGAGGAACACGAATACGAATAGTTTAGTTACTTAACAATTACACAATAAAAATATATGTACAGTACTAGTCCAGAAATAGATTTCAACAGTTACCGTTCATCATTCTCTGTGGAATATAACATTACGTTTGTAGGAATACTGAAATAAAATGGAACAATTATCAAATTCTTATCTTTTCTTAAAACAACTTTTCATTCATTTCGATGCCGATGTCATTCGATTTTTGATGATTGAATGAATCGTCAAAAATGTACAGTTTCGGAAGTTATTATCTTAGGAATCAGTGTTTATATTTTTAAAGAAAATATATTGAACAACAAGTTTGTAGTATTTTCATAGTGCTTTACACATATGCTTTCATTGAATCTGTTGACTGTTGTTATTTCTTTTACTATTCATGAATTTCAGAAAACTAGTCCGAAATGCCTACGCCATGTATGTACGGAAATGTGTTATTTGTTATACGTTCCAGTCTTGCACTTGATACATATAAATTTTCGATTTTGAAGAACACAGAAAAAAACAGATACTTGACTGGTTCTTATTCTGTTCCAATTGGTAGTTTGAGAATGGAGGAATTTTATGTGGACATTCAAACGTTACCGTGTGCAGTAGGTGATTTTACGGAATTATTGTTTGTGATGTAGGCGAAAACACGTCACAATTGACCATTGGTAACTGAGTGAAATGGACATACTTTTTGGTGCCCACTATCTCAAACTGAAGTCAACTGAAAAACCATTGGAAGCTAGAGTACAGTATACTAGTTTTTACTTTTAAAATCGGGGCTTATCATGAATCCATTCAGGGTTGAATTCAAAATATTCAGATCCCTCAGAGAACATGAAAACATTCAACCACTAATTAGGTACAGAATAAATCAAAGACTCAAGTTTCAGTGAATTTCTAATATAAAGCAATCCTCATACAGGTAATAATCTATGAGAATGATTTGTTAAGTTATTTTTACTGTACCAACCATAATCCATTCCTATGTAACTGATCCTCATAAATTCAAAGAACTTAAAGTTTGTCATACTTCAAACTTTATCCCAAATTTTCTAGAAGCATTTGAAATATAAGGATGTGAGAAATAACTCACAAATAGAGTACATTTTCGCTTAGTAAAAGATGCTTTAGGACAAGATAAGACATATAACTTTGTTTACAAATCTTTCAATTTTCGTGTTCATCAAAAGTTTACCGGTTTTATAAAACTTAAATCTTCTCCATTTAAACAAAAACATACTACTTATGTCGAATTAAAATATTTTCTTGAATTCATTACTCGAAAACAGAATAATTAACCATTTTCTTTCTTTGTTATAATAATCTTAGTTAATAAGTCATAGAGTTCATGTTTACGTAGTTTTACTGACTAATGACGAAGTACATTCTTCAATCTCTTATTTGCATTTAAGTTTTTAGTGAACGTGTGGAAAAACATTATTGTTGCTCATCTCTTGCTCCCTATTCTGTGCCAAGTTTATAATCAAATGATATCCACTAGAAGTTAACGTTAATTCACATAGACGATCGTTTTAGAATTAAACAAATTATGTTAAGAGAAGTGCTGGATGAAATGAATTATTTTATAGCTGCGCATTCATCTCTCTCACAATATAGTGTGAAAAGAATTAAGATTTATAAAATTCTTTATTAAACCAAGACACTAACAAATGTTCTTCCGTATAAGTACTAATGCTCAAATTATGGTTAGATTTTACCTGACTTCTACAATCACTGAAGTACGGATATAAGGGTTTCTAAAGTTAAGCGGTAATCAACAAAACATGACAGTTTTATTTAGGTGAGAGGTTTGTAATGGACAGTCGAAACTAGTTTTCTTTACAGACTGATATCAACTCCAAAACCATTAAGCCCAGGACTTAATAAACATTATTTTTATTCCTCTTTAAGATTCCTTAACAAAAAGTATCTATGGTTCAATCTGGAATTTGTTAAAGCCCTTTAAGATCATGATGTTATCCAATAGACTTGATGGGTAGCTTACTCTTATTTCGAGATATTTGAAACTCACTAGTCACTAATTATCACTGGAAATTCAGAAGCATATCTTGAAGTTTATCGCTATCGAGTCTATAATAGTTTTGATTTCGGTTTTTTTATCATGTTTAATTACGGCTAATATTTTCCTTCCGTATACTTTACTCATAGTCACTGTTCATTTATCACTAAATTACTTTCAAGATTACATACTTACATTCATGATTTACTGTAAATTGACTTACTTTAGCAAGTTCTCCAGGTCCTATTCTAGGTGGTCTTACCACAGGTTGATAATTTAAATTCTCAGCAAAATCGCACCATTTATCACTTTCTGATTTTGACTTTTGTGCGATACCATATGCTTCTGGTGTTCTTAAACGTAATTGCGGTTTCTGTTTTATGTTAGTTTCATCAGTTGAGAAATTGGTTCCAGCATTTGAAAAATCATTCACAAATCCACTGATTTCCGCTGTTGTCAGATGCTTTTTGTTACGATCAGCTATTTCAATAGCATTAAGTCGTACTCGTGGTTTCGGTGGTGTTTCACAATAATCAGCTGTATGAGCAAACCATAATCCTGGTGTTCCATGATTTTTAATTAAATTATCATGAGCTGCACTAAAGGTATCAGTCATCAACATTATTCTAATGTCAATTGATTTTATTTAAATAAATGAAGGCAAATATTTGTTGTCATTATTTTTCAATGAAAAAAAGATGATATCATAACTAAGCAACAGGTTATTGTTTACATATCGATTTATTCTAACCAATCATGATCTAAATATTTGTTGATAATAGTAATGATAGAGAATGCAAAATTTTACAAACCAATTGTTCAATATATTGGTCAGAAATTAGTTTGTTTTCATTTATGGATGACTTACTTACTTACTTACTTACTTACTTACTTACTTACTTTCGCCTGTTACTCCCAATGGAGCATAGGCCGTCGACCATTATTCTCCAACCCACTCTGTCCTGGGCCTTCTTTTCTAGTTCTATCCAGTTTTTGTTCATTCTTCTCATGTCTGTCTCTATTTCTCGACGTAATGTGTTCTTTGGTCTTCCTCTTCTCTTTGACCTTCAGGATTCCATGTGAGGGCTTGTCTTGTGACATAGTTGAGTGATTTCCTCAATGTGTGTCCTATCCACTTCCATCGCTTCCTCCTGATTTCTTCCTCCGCTGGAATCTGATTTGTTGTCTCCCACAGTGACTTGTTGCTGATAGTGTCTGGCCATCGGATCCGAAGTATCTTGCGTAGACAACTGTTAATAAACACTTGTATCTTCTGGATAATGGCTTTCGTAGTTTTCCACGTCTCCGCCACATACAATAGAACTGTCTTGACATTTGTATTGAAAATTCTAACCTTGGTGTTGGTTGACAATTGTTTTGAGCTCCAGATGTTTTTCAGTTGTAAGTATGCTGCTCTTGCTTTGCCGATCCTCGCCCTCACATCTGCATCTGATCCACCGTGTTCATCAATAATGCTGCCCAGATATGTAAATGTTTTCACATCCTCCAAATCTTCTCCGTCAAGTGTAATTTGATTGGTGCATATTGTATTGTATCGGAGAGTCTTGATTTTCCCTTTGTTTATATTGAGACCTACTGCTGCTGAGGCTGCTGCTACACTGGTCGTTTTCTCCTGCATTTGTTGCTGCGTTTGTGATAGAAGAGCCAGATCATCCGCGAAGTCTAAATCGTCAAGCTGCATCCTGCCTGTCCACTGTACCCCGTGCTTTCCTCCAGTCGTTGACGTCTTCATGATCCAGTCGATGACCAGGAGAAAGAGAAAGGGTGAGAGTAAGCAGCCTTGCCTTACACCGGTCTTTACTTCAAACGAGTCGGTGAGTTGTCCTCCGTGGACGATGTGGAAATTTAGTCCATCATAGGAGTTCCGTATGATATTGACTATCTTCTCAGGCACGCCGTAGTGTCGAAGAAGCCTCCATAGTGTTGTCCTGTCCACGCTATCAAATGCCTTCTCATAGTCGATGAAGTTGATGTAGATTGATGAATTCCATTCGATTGATTGTTCCACAATGATACGTAGAGTTGCGATTTGATCTGTGCACGATCTATCCTTACGAAATCCACCCTGTTGATCTCGAAGTTGGGCGTCTACGAAATCTTTCATCCTGTTTAACAATACCCTGTTGAAGACTTTTCCTGGTATTGAGAGGAGAGTGATGCCCCTGTAGTTGTCGCACTTGCTCAGATCACCTTTCTTTGGTATTTTGATCAGAAGTCCTTTTTTCCAGTCTGTTGGTACTTGTTCTTCGTCCCAAATCTCACTGAAGAGGATGTGTAGTATCTTGGCAGTTGCTGGTACATTTGCTTTCAGTGCCTCTGCCGGGATGTTGTCTGGTCCCGCTGCTTTGCCGCTCTTGATTTGTCTGATGGCCATGCTGACCTCTTCAATTGTTGGTGGGCCAACATCGATTTGGAGGTCTGTGGGTGCTGCTTCGATGTTGGGTGGGTTCAGTGGAGCTGGTCGATTTAAGAGTTCTTTGAAGTGTTCTACCCACCTGTTTCGTTGTTCTTCAATGTCGGTGATTACTTTGCCTTCCTTGCTTTTCACTGGTCTTTCTGGCTTACGGTAATTTCCGGCAAGTTTCTTTGTTATATCATACAGTTGTCTCATGTTTTCCTCTCTTGCAGCCTTTTCCGCTGTCATCGCTAAATCTTCCACATATTTACGTTTGTCGGTTCTGATGCTCCTCTTCACTCGCTTGTTTGCCTCTGTGTATTCGGCTTGTGCCTTGGCTTTTTCCGCTCTTGTTCGGCTGATATTGATTGCTGCCTTCTTGTTCCTTCTTTCTTCAATTTTCTCCAGTGTACCAACAGTGATCCATTCCTTGTGATGGTGCTTCTTTTGGCCCAGAACCTCCTGACATGTTGAAACGATTGCCTCCTTGATACCTTCCCAGCTGCTCTCTATGGTGGTTCCCTCTCCATTGAGTAGATCATGAAAGGCCTGGAACCTGTTACTGAGGGCTATGTTGAATTTGTTGAGTTTGTCAGCATCTCGAAGAAAAGCCGTATTAAACTTTTATGATGTTGTCCGAGCCGTTGTCCAGTGCTTCTTAAGTTTTAGTTTCATCTTGGCAACCAGCAAATGATGATCGGATGCTATATCAGCTCCTCTTCTGGTTCTCACATCCTCCATCGTCCTCCTGAACATTTTGTTGATGCAGATATGGTCGATTTGATTCTGTGTAGTGTGATCCGGTGAAATCCAAGTGGCTTTGTGTATGTTTTTGTGTGGAAATATGGTGCCACCTATGACCAGTTTATTGAAGGCACATAGGTTTGCAAATCTCTCACTATTTTCGTTCCTTTCTCCCAGTCCATGTTGTCCCATGACGTCTTCGTATCCAGTGTTGTCCTTTCCAACACTGGCATTGAAATCTCCCATCAGAATGATCAGGTCTTTGGTTGGGCACTTCTCGAAGATCGACTGCAATCTGTCGTAGAATTGGTCTTTAGCGTCTTCATCGTAGTCATTGGTAGGCGCATAGCATTGGACGACGTCCATTGTAATGCCCTCTCTCTTTGTTTTGAAGGAGGCTTTGACGATCCTTGGTCCATGAGATTCCCATCCTATAAGTACATTTTGTGCTTTTCTGGACTGCATCAATGCAACTCCTTGTGTATGTGGGGCATTTTCTTCTTCATGATCGGAGTATAACAGAAGTTCTTCTGAAGACAGTCGTTGTTGTCCAACCTGCGTCCAATGCGTTTCACTGATTCCAAGCACCTTCAGGTTGTATTTTCTCATTTCTGCAGCAATTTGGAAGACTCTTCCGGTCTCCCACATTGTCCGGACATTCCATGTACCTATAAAAATTGTTTCTCTGGTTGTAAGAAGGTGCATCGACCTCATGACTTCCGAATGAATTCGGCTTTCATCATGAGACGTCATAATTATTCCTTCTACTCCCAGGGCAGAGTTTGAATGGTTTGAATGATTTTTTCTGGTTAGCGTTTTTTTAGCGAGTTGATTTTCTACGGGATGGGGTCGCTAACCCCATGCCCAACCCTCCTCCTTTGTGTGGGCTTGGGACCGGCAGCAACCCCCAGAGGAGCTACAGGCGGAGTTATTTATGGATGAGAATAGTGACAAATGTAAACTAATTAATATATCACTATGGGTTAAAACAGAAAAATTTCAGTAAAACTTACTGTCATGTTCCGATAACAATAGTGAATGGTAACTTTGGGATCCATTTGTCGATCAGTATTATGCATATATTTTTTATCGCATGATTGCTAAGTAACTAAACTATTCATATTCATGTTCCCCTTATGATAAGCTTTATTTTGTTCTATAAACTATATGATTTACCATTTTTGAGTTATCCCTAGTCTATTAATTGCTGCCTCCTACATTCACAATCACATTTAGCTAAATCTTGTACAAATGTTATTTTCTATTTTGTTGGTACAATGTGGCCAGTCTGTTTGGCATATAAACCCAGTATGTTTGAGAATAATGATTCATATTGCAGAGGCTGTTATTGGTGTTCTGGACTTAACTGGCTGGGCTAGGTAGAAGCAGTACCGATAAGCACTCTAGACTGTTCTTACGATTTTCGTGTGTCACTGTTTCAATCGATAATTCGCTGCTCTCTGATTGGCGGTCTTATCACGTCATACATTAACAGGGCATCCACTTGGCAACAAGTTATAACACTTACGAGTTAAAATAGTACAATTAATCAATCAGATCACCATAGTTTTATTTTGATAATGAGAATCAACAGACGTCAGTTTATTTACGTTCTAAATAAATTTAAGATCATAAATATCATTGTATTGATAATTTACATTAATTTCTGTAAAAAGTTATATTATTCAAAAGTTTTCAAGTGATCAAATGGCCTAAATAGATATCTCATTATCTTTCTCATCATGGTAAAAGGTGATTTTATTTGTCGGTTTAACCTATACAGATACTGTGTAGATATTCAAGCCAATGATCGAAAACATTCTATTAAACTTATACATTTTATTCTTTTAAATGAATTCTAATAATTCTGATTATACTTAGTTTTATTATGAATAAAGTTATAAGTTAAGTCTTAACTATACTAACAACCTTGAGCAGCCTACCAAACAATCAGAAAATAGTGCTTGATCATAAAAAAATAATAAAATAACAATGGATAAGTAGTTTTGACATGACTGATGAGTCTTTACATATTCAATTATTTATTATAATAAACGGAAAAAGGCAGAGGATTTGGTATTAAAGGTTTAACTAGAGTTATCAATAAGGATCAGGAGTGTTCGGATCAGGCCATGGGGTACAAAGAGTTATTGTTAAGAGTGTTTATATTACTTTTTATTTATACAACTATCCCTGAATATGTGCTGAATCGCATCTAGTACTTTCAAATGCATTTATCATATCTGGTAGGTCTTTCTTGTTATTTGGCTTACACAATATGTAAAATTTGATATGTGATTTGACATATATTTTCATTAATTTTAACCATTTCAGGAACTATATTAATATAGCTCTTTTTTTAATACAATAAATGCTACCAACAATTTTGTGGGAAAATCAAAGAGGTGATATCTCAAGCGTGATTGGTTCATTTAGACTAGTTACTATAGTTTAGTTTCATCATAAGCTTTTATTTTGAATAGTAAACTTCATTAATTCTACACCATAAACATCCAGTCATGAGGAAAGTATTGAAATGCTAAATGTACTCGGATACATTGATTTATTAGAAG